GGGCTGTTTTTCAGCATATGGTACTGGCAAACTTCAAATAATTGAAGGAAGGATGAGTGGAAAAATGTACAGAGTTTATAAGTTTGTAAGTGTGTTCAATACTTTTTCCCTGTGCCATTCCACATTATTACAAATAACTTCATTTCTGGACATTTATGGTTTGATTTCTTTGTATGTATGGATCACTTGGATTGTTACCAACATCTGGTGGTAATTTCATGTCATTAGTACCTCTAGTAATATATTTACTGAGAATAATGTTGACGTGTTCTATACTTATTTTACCCGCTGTATACAGTATGGGGTGTAATTGAGCAGGCCTCTACTGTATAGAAAGTCCATGTAAATGCCCAATTGAGACACAGAACAAGAGATTGTTTCACCTTGAGAAGAGTTGTGTTCAGGCAGGCATGTGTGGCAGCCTCCAGTGTTTCAGTAACAGACAGGGAGAGCTGTGATGCTGCTCGTTGCAGAGTTTCCTTTGTCTGACTCCGAATTTCGCAGTTTCCAAAAACCTCCAGAAAAACTTCTGTCTTCTCTGGAAAACAAATCGATGTTTCTGACACATCTGACATTTATAACTAATAGTTGATCAAAACTCCACCCACCGTTAATGCCCATCACTTTGTTCGTCACAAGCGATAAGTAGAGGAGCAGCAGCTGCCTGGCCACCACCTCCATGCTGTTTTCTATCACCCACACCTGCAGTTAAGSAGAGCAGAGATTTGTTACTCGTAGTAAAGTTACTCCTGAGGCAGTTTAAAAGGTTAGGGCTCACATGAAGACTTTGTTTGTCATGCAAACCAGCAATAGTCTTCAAAATATGTCTTGGATCTGCACTGCCGACCAGTAAAACGTTGAATTCTCCCTCAGATCTCACAGAACCTAGACACAGATAAGCAAAACATAAAGTAGCAACATAAAATAGCTTTGACTGCTGGGTTAAATTTAAACCTTTATTCATTAATTTAATAAAAGACCATGTGTCCAACAGACTTTAGAGTTAAATCAATGTGAATTTCAGCTTAAACACATTTTTATGAAAAATTATTACTGAATATAAATTAAAACAAATTATTGATTTGGTCCTTGTAACAAGTGCATGGTATCAACACTATTATTATTATTACTACTATTAAGGGCAGCCAGTCCCTAATCCTTCATAGGTTGTTTGATAATGATGCTATGAGTGTTCTGGGTTTCAGCTGGAAACTCAATTTGACTTGGGTACGTTAAACCAGTGTTTCCCAAAGTTGGGGTCGGGACCCAAAGTGGGGTCCCGAAGCATCAAGGTGGGGTCCTGAAAAGATTTTCTGAATTAATTACATTTTTGCCTTAGTTGTTACAAAGGAGTGAGGTTAGTGTATTTAAAATGGATAAATATGGTATAAAAATATTGTTACTATTAATATTAACTATTGTTTTGTTGACAAGATACAAATGTTTATCATCCAAAAATAGCTGGGGGCACAGGTCTCTGCTACTGTTATTTTGTGGGTCAAAAGCTGAAAAGTTTGGGAACCACTGAGTTAAACTATTGCTAGTGAAGATAGATTCTCACTCATTCAGGTCATGATGAAACAGAAAAGGGTCAAAAACAAAAGAACTGGATTTTTTTTTCTGAAGTTGAAAATGTTTTGCTTCCTATCCAAGAGGCTTATTAATTCAAAGTATATGTAAGAATGTGTAAAATAAAACTACACAAGTATATTTCATCTTTAAAACAAAAAAAAGCAACAACACGATAACTGGGAGTGGGCTAATTGTGTTTGTTGACGTCATTGCACGTGAGCAGCTACACCCACGCTCGAGGCTCTCACCCAGACCGAGCAGATTCTGGGCCGGACTGAAGCCCCACCAGGTAACACAACCCGCACCCTCTGACGGTCGTCCAGCACTCATCCCGTAATCCTGTAATAGTCTGTAAAAGGTTGCAACAAAGTTGTAATTGTTTACATGACGGTTAAAAACAAACACAAAAACACAGCAGCCCCCCCCCCCCCACACACACACACACACACATTCACGGTAACTTCTGTACATTTATTTATGCTCTAGTCGACTAACCGCAACATGCTAAAAAATTATCGTCAAACTCAGCGAGATATTACTTACATTCCGAGTAAGTTTTTTTTAAAACACACCCCACAAGTATAATAACAAAGAAAAGTTCACAGGAAATGTCCGAACAGAAAGTTTGAGTTTTGTTCCTAGGCAACACATCCGGAGTTATTTGGGCATGCGCAATCGATACCGGAAGTGCGGCAATAAACTTTTACAAGAACCAAATACACTTTTCTGACACAATTTTGCATTTTCAAAAACTAAATTCATGTATATGAAATTCATGTTTATTTAAACTATTTTGTGAAGCCAAAGTTAAGGAAATCTTTTTACAGTACGTATGTTTTTGTATTACATTATTATTTTTTATACCACACACTCCACGTCACTTGGCTGTGTCTAAATTCAGAGGACCTATATTTATTATATACTTATATATTTTTTCTTTTTCTTTTTAATGTAATTTTACATTGTCAATTTGGTTACTTGAATGCCACAACATGCATTTTACAACTTGTTTGATGTATATACGTGTACAATACAAAATAAGAACCATGTAGTAGCAACATTACTTTGTTACATATTTAACTTAGCATATAATTACAAAAAAGACCATTATGTGAGACTGTCTTTTGTAATTTTATTTACATTGTACAAGAAACACAAAAGCACAACAAATTGAACAACGTACAATAGGCCTATTTAGTAGCTCACATTTTGATTTTTAAGAGCAGGGAAAGCATGGATGTATTAATGAGGCCTGCTTTACATTTTTTTAAAATGTTCTGCTCATCAGCATTTTCACACCAGCATGCACAGCTGAAGAATTATAATGCTGCCTTGGGTGTCAAAATATGTGCTTTCCTTACACTTTCAAGTGAAAATGTCAGCTACAAAAAAATAAAATAAAAGTATCATAGCCTACTTAGTGAGATATGAGAGCCGACAATTATATTACATATTACTTTATACAAAATAAATTTAATACAAAACATACTCATTATCAAATTATTGCTTTCCAAGAATATAAATTCAGAAGCGTGATTGTTGATTGTGTGTTATAGGTAAAGAATAGGAGATACCAAGCCAAAACTTCGTGTTACACAGGCACAAATACACACAAAATATAGACTAGTGTACATA